TACAAAGACATCTTAAATTTTAGTATGGCTTTCTTTTGCCTGATGTGAAAAAAACACGTGTGATTTAATCCTTTGTACCCTGCAAAGTTAGGATTTAAGAAGTGTAGCCCAGTGCTTGGGAGATCACACCTGGAGTGCTGCGGCAGTGGGGGCGCCCCAGTATAAGAAGGACTTGGACACACAACAGTGATGGGTAGGGCTGCGGAACATGGTGCAGGAGGAGAAGCTGAGGAAGCTGGGCTTGTTCAGCTGTAAAAAGAGATGAAGAGGGATCTTACTGCTGTCTTCAGCTCCCTCAAAGTGTTGGACTAGGTGACCCTCAGAGTCTGTTTCAGCCTAAATTATGCTGTGATTGTACAAAGTTTTCAAATACATTTTTCCATTGCGAGGTATATTAGGAGCTTATTGATAAAGGAACCCACCAGAAGCTACCAAAGGAGCTGTAATTAAAGACAATGAGTAACATAGGTGTGCTGGTAAGTAGCATGATTCAGTTTGTAATTATCTGAAGTCAGGAGGTAGTTTACCTTAGTCTCTCAACAAGTTATCCTCCACACAACAAAGTTATTTGCCCGCTGGCGCTCTGTGAGATTTCCACGGTTCCTAACACAGAGGTGATACCTATGAGTAAGTAAGTCTTAATTAAAACAAATCAAAGCGAGTATATAAGCTCGCATGCCTTTTTTTGCTTTTCCCTTACGATAAGCTTTTTTTTTTTTTTTTAAAACAGATAAGTTCTTGTAGGCTGAAGTAAAGGTCGTCTACTTCAAAATACGAACCATAACTTTCTCAGTATAGCTCTCTTGTAGTTACCTGTATTCGAGACGCCCAGATCCATTCGGATAGCTGCATCAGCTCCTACTGCAAATGCAAATTTCACATGTTAAGCTTTGGCCCAGAATTTTTACTGAAAAGGAACATTATATTTTACACCCTCTGTGGATTTATCTGGCCTGCCCTGATCTGTGTGACATGCAGTCCGAGCAATCTCATTAGTTCTTTTACATGTTAGAACTGCCCGAGGTCAGCACTCAATGTAATGTCCAATAGATGTAAGCACCTGCAGAGTGATTTGTTCTCTCAGTCTCTCATTGAATTATGCCTGTAAGGAACACACACTTCTCTTAGGCTTAACCTTTGTTTTTAGCGGGTTGCTTTTAGTGGTCAAACCTGCCAGCTTCTCTATAACTTGGGATATTTTTTAATACTTGTGAGCAATTAATTCTGCACTGGTCTCCTGAGCATCTGCATGCCTTACATTAGCCGAACCCCTAGGAAAATCTGTGTTTCCTGATAGACTTTTCTTAGATATCTTAATGACTGTCATACTTTCTTAAATCAATCCTTATGATAAATGGTGATTTGCCATCCCCCAGTTCCTTTTTTGAACATGGCACCGTAGCATAAGAGAGTTTTGTTTTGCGTTTGTAAGCAGTAATATTGAGCTGGGTTTTGACCCTGTCTTGTGCTCTGCCATCTGTGACGGAGCTGTGGTTTGTGTCTGTGTTGTATGAACCACTTTGCATCACTGACAGTGAGTGTGGGAGTGTAACAAACACTGTCATTACAGGGCAATACCCTCCTCTGACAATAAGAAAATGACAGTTGCATACACAATAGTATCTAATTCTGACTTGCCACTCTTTTAATGACTACACAGGCTTCAGGGCAGACTTCAGAGACCCGGACGCTGACCATCTGAGACAGTGGAAGGGAGAGCCTGTGTTACCCAGCTGCAGCTGTGTGGTCTTGTAGGCAATGTTGGTTCTTGCTGTTATCTTTCTGAACATCTCTGTGTGCTGGTATTTACCTTTCACGTGATGTTGAAGTCCCGAGCAGTGTGCTGCTTTCCTATGGATGTAATCCTTGTATCTGCTCTTGCCAGTGGTGTGTTCAGTTCTGGACTTTACCAGTCTAACCCAGCGGTAGACAAACACGTAGATGGTATTTGCAGCAAACAACACGAGAGGGTTCACGTAGCACTTCAGAAGCAGTGGATGAGTGCACTCCACGGGCAGTGGATGAGGGAAGCAGTGCATGAGCCAAGGTACCAGACCTGGCTTCCAGTTTCTTCTGCCACATGACAGTTGTGCCACCTTCATAAGCAGCTGCTTCCTCTACTGCTGCAGACAAAGGCATGCACTTCTGCCCTTTAAGCATAAGATGGCAGCAAAGCTTCTTCTGTTTCTGTGGTACCAGGGTGAGTAGCTGTTCACCTGGGTAACTGGTGGTTGCTTTTTCTGTGGATTCCAGTTTTGCATGTGGTCTGTGTGGTTGGGACTCGACTAAGGCAGTCAGTTTTGCTATCCAAATAGGAAATGAAGAATTCTTTGTAAAAAGTGGAGTTATCCAGTGCAGAGATCCCAGGCAATGGTTGCAGACTGCTACTTGGTCTGGCATGTCAGGCTGAGTGCTTTATAGCTTGTTGGCAGAGCCATTTTAAACAATAAAATTCATGAACTCATCTGTTAAAAGCTGGACGGTGCTCATGCGTGGAAATTTTAAGGGTTAACAGTCATCTATGGATTTAAAATATTTGGAAACTGTTGCTTTATTAATTAGGCAATGGAAGGAGGAGTCAGAAAGTTGGTCTCTTCCCCCATTTTTGTTATAGGTTCACCACAGCAGGAAGGATCACTTGGTTTGCATCCCTTAGCACAGCTGTAAAATGCAGGGATTCTCTTCAAGCTTTTGAAGCTTGAAGATTTAGTTACAAGGTTTAGTCAATCTTCATAAATGCTTAAGGTAGCTAAATGGGGCGTGATGCAGAAATAGAGTTTTTGAGCTCACTTTTAAGTATTTATCTATTTGTGTTATAAAATGCCTGCCATTTTTTTCTCTTCCATGAAAAAAATTATATCTTGTTTCTAGGCCAGAGGTAAGCATTTTAGGAGCACCATTTGTTTTTTGGAGACACAGGAATATCACTGAAGGATGAAATGTGAAATGTAGAAAGACGGTAATGATGCCTAATTCTTACTGCCTTTTCGTTTGAGCTAGGATTAAGCAATAGTTAAAAAAAAAAATAATCTCCAAATGTATTTTTTACCCTTCACTTTGATAGGTGCTTCTCCTTTTATACCAAGGGAGCATTTGAAAGGGTGTTTTTTTCCCCTTAAAGGAGAAATATGAGCTATTTGGCAGTTTTTCTTTCCTTCTAAGATTCAAGAATAAAACCTGAAATTCTCTTTGTTGTAAAATCAAGCTCTCGACAGCTCTTTCAGCGCTGAATGGCACATTGGTACTGCCACCTCTGAAATGGGTGTCTGAAGCCTGGGGAAAGAGTTAGTTGTCCCATTTTGCTACCTCCTAGCTGGTAGGTAACCACACAAAACACCAGCAGGGACCTGCCATGGAGATTTCATTGACGGATCAAGGAGCAGGGCTGTGTTTTGATGTTTGTTGACACGACCTGACTCTTCTGACTGCCACAGCCAGAGGCCCTTTGATAAGAGCAATAGGCATTTCATGCAGCATTTCACACAGCATTTCATCTGGCCTGCATCTGCCAGACCGCTGTCCACTGATTTAAAGAGAGAAAAAGCTGCAAGCTTTGTTAAATCCCTGTAGCAGGTGGTTTGAATGTGACCAGAGAGGTAAAACTGCTCTTTTGCTCTCTAGATTTGAGTTCTCTCAGCAGGCCTTCTGATCACTGTAAGCTCCTTTGCTTATGCTTGGAAAGCAGATAGTCTCCAGATATGGCAAGTTGGAATCCCTTTTTCTTTTCTCTCTCATTTTTACCAGTCCAAAATCTGTGGAAACTCTGTCTCATTTCCCCTCCAGTCACTTATAAAGCTTGGAGGAACTGCTGGTTCTCTGCACCTGGTGTTGGTGCTGTATCTCCTGTGGACCGCAGGGAAGCAAACTAGGTCAGCTGAAGGATTCCAAAATCTGACGGCAAGGTAGATTGGAGTCAGCATCTGAGAGCCAAGAGCCAGAGCCAGCTTCATTTAGCCGACATGCTGTTACACACTGGTTTTCAAGCATCGGGGTGCTAATTCCATCTCTGCTGAAACACAGAGTAACAGGTGCAGTGTGGCTGCTGCAGCTTCATGCTCTCTGATGGCTTTTCTGGCTTTGAACTATGGGAAGCCCAGCAGCACTGCATTTTAAATGCCTTAGCCTGTTACTTGCCTCATTTGCTTTCCCCTCTCAGATTCTTTATAATTAGATATGACTTGGTCAGTGCTGTACTACTGATCTTAAAAAAGAGTCTGAAGAGGGGAAGGACAGTGGGATTTCATAGAACTTATATAAGGTTTTAAATGGTCTCTGCAGCCTCTCTGGAAAAATGATTTTCCTTCTTGCATTACGGAAGACATGTGGCTGTCAGACACAGGAAGAATATGCTGTGTCCATCAATCAAATTGTACCTGGTAACTTCTGTCTTCTTGTCTGTGTCTGTTTTATAGCATCAGTCCTGAGACAAATCCTATTCTGACTGCAGAATGCCATTAACTGCTGTAGCTCATATATTTCAGGAGAGTGGACAGGAAAGTGGCAGACTGCCCCCAGGAGTTTCTGCACACTGGGGAGTACAGACGACATGGGGCTGGAAGAGTACCTCAGTGCTGCTGATAGAACCTTCCTCCACAGAAATCCCCGTTATGAAGTCTGGCAGATTAGGGATGTTTATCAAGAATCTAAATACCTAAATGCTTATCAAGGGTGGTCTTCTGTAAAGGTTTTCTTTCATTTAGCAGTTTCATCTGTAAGAAATTGTCCAAAGGCGTGTCTTCAGGAGGCAGAGATATGCAAGACAGAAGACCAGCAGGAGACGGTCATTATTTTTAGATGATATGAACAATGGTCTAGTTCACATGAGCTGCGGGATAGTATCAGCACCTTGGACTCAAATCCCAGCCTAACCACATTGTGTTTGCTTTCCCCAGACTGTAGTGGTTTAGTGATAAACCAAAAAATAGGTACCAAGCTGTAGAACGTGGATTTCTGACCATGTTCACCTGACATGAGTACGTGTTGTTGTTTTATTCTTCCAGTTTGAGATCAGACAGCTGAGGGCCCACCTTGCTCAGCAAGATTTGGACCTGGCTGCAGAGAGAGAGGCTGCGCTGCAGGTCCCCCACGTACTGAACAAACAGAGCAGCAACAGATACAAGGTGGTGGCAACTGAAGATTCAGACGATGAAGGCACTGAGAACATCACTGAGTTGCAGACTCCACGAGGTGAGTGCTGTCTGTGTGCTGCTACCTGCTAGCACAGCTGTTCCCTTGCATGGAGTGACTGAACCCACAAAATACTTTCACTCTGCTAGTGACTTGATTGCTTTCCCTGGAGACTGCATTTTCCCATTTTTGCAAAGAAGCTGTGTCTGCTCCAAAGTGGCAGGAGCTGTTATATTTATGAACAGGTTCTGACCAGAGCCAATAAAATGACTCGGGATGAAAATGACTATGATGTACCTTCCCAGTGTCCTCATGTTTATATCCCTCAAACACTAAAGCAGCCGCAGCCAAATTGGAATTGGCAAAACAATAATCACTCAGAGGTAAAAGCAGGGCAATCGAGAAGAACATTGAAAAACAGTTTCTGAGTTTGGCTGCTTGCATTTCTGCGGTTTAGAGAGGACCTGAGGCAGTTCTGAATTGATGTCATGTCTCACAGCTTCTGCTTTGTCTGTCTGCACAAAAACCTGGTTTGTAAGTATTCATAGTATTGTATTTTTTCATAAAAGTATCAGGTTAAATTTATTAGGCCAGATTAGCCTCACATGTAACCTATCTTGTCACAATATTTACAGATCTTGGGAGTTAGTTTGGCCAGTTTTTTACCCTTTGTTTTTGGCCATTTTTTGAGTCCATCTTCATCCAGGCAAAGAGTCTCGTGTCTGTTGGGAGGTACTCAGGAGCATGTATGTACATGTATGTGTAAGAGGAATACAGACATAGCTATGTAATTTCAGCCATGTAAATCCATAGAAACCTGCGTGTCACATTTTGTTCTGTGAGCTACGTTATGTTTTGTGAATTAAGGAATACAAGACTGTCTCTCTTCTACTAGTCCCAGCCATCCTGCTCACTGCCCCACATCCCAGCTTGCCTACCAGGGTTGGGCAATTGCCCATGCACCAGTTGTGAAGCTTGCCTTGCCCAGAGACTGTTCTCTCACTCGGTGCCTTAAAACTGCCAGTGCTGGGCAGCCCACCTGTGCTTGGACAGGGCAGCTCTGGTGCCAGAAAAGGAGCATTTGCACACTGTAGGCAGCTCCTGCTCACCTGTCAAAGTTTCACGTGCCTGTGGTGAGCAGCAGTCCTGTGGGTGGTCTGTGAGCTGTCCATTGGGCCAGGTGTGTTGTTCAGGGGAACACTACTGCTTATATCTACCTAGCCCCATGTTATTTTTGTCACTGAAATCTAGAGCAGAAGGCTTTATTTGAAAGGACAGCTCTTTGTCCCGTGATCCCCCAATGCTCACAACGGAGGACAGAATCTGTCATGGTTTCACTAATGGTTGCCGTAATATCCCAGAGAAGACAACATTTTTCACCATGGTGATACGTTAGTCTTCTCTGGACGTCCTAGTTTGGTCATTTTGGTAGATGAGCAGTATGTGAATAGATATGAATTACAGGTTTGCCTGGTATCTTTGCCACACTCCTTAGAATTTAAGGCACAGAAGTATCTTAATCAAAATTTTAAGAGAAAAAGCTCACCAAACTTTTTCAAACTATATTTTTTTCATTTTCTACATAGTAATGAAAGCACGTAGAAGTTGTTTCTGTTTCTTCCTCTTTAATAATAGCCAAGCGCTAACCACAATTCAGCTATTAATTATTCCTGACTCAAAATTGTGTTTAAAAGCAGGCAGTTGAGCAGGCTGCCCCCTGAAATGCATTTCCCCCTTTTCTGTAGGATTTCAGAGGTTTCCCCAGTGGATGTATTATAATTTATGCATGTGTTCCTTGAGGGTTACATTTGGACAACTGTGCACAACCAGAGAGTGTTGTGCTCAATTATAGGAAGGCTTGCTGAAACTACAGTGCTGTGGAGGTTAGTCTAATTTTTTTTTCTGTGCAACGTATTCAGTCCAACTTCCAGGTTAACACAAGTACTCATTATTTGTTTCTCTCTGTAAAATGCTGGCCACACATGCAACAAAGCAGGAGTGATTTCTATGTTCAGTAAGGTTACGTGATGTGAGCAATTAATGCTTTTTACTGGAAAAGTATGTCCAGCAAATAAGAAAAGGTGCATTACTTCACATAACAGATAAGGTGCAGTTATGCTATATTTAAACATTCATACTGAGAATATAGAATTAATTTCTGATTCCCAGAGGTCAACTAAAAACAGAGGAGGAAATATTTTTTGAGCATTGTATCATATACTGCATACAAAGCCTTCGTAGCTATATCATTTTCAGTGTTTTTTCTTCAGAAGTTAAATTTAGGTCATTGAATGTTTTACGGTTGTCCTTTATGTTGAGTGAAGTAGGAGTTGAACAAAAGAAATTTCCCAGAGCCTTAGAGCAAGGCCTTATTCCATCTGTGGTAGTATCCATCGTAGTGGAGCACTGAAAGGGGGCCCAAGTGCAGATTGCATGAGAAACCACAAGCCGAGCGGTAATGTTCAGTGCTGTAGTTCACCACCCAGAGAGCAGTCAACTGAGGCAGTCAACAGTCAGCATGGATTCTGCGTGATTTTTGCATGGGGTACACCTGATGGAAGAGGAGCATGTCCTCAGCTAAAGGGGCCCCTGTTTACATACCATGGGATGGGTTTATCAGGTTGGTGTAGGATCTCCCATCAGACCAGTGAAATGCTCATCAGGCGTGGCTCTGCAGAGCAGAGGCTATCGAGACATTTCCTCTAGGTCATTTCTGCACCTCCTGCTCGTGCTGTAGTTACCCTGGCTGTGCTATCTTCAGGGCTTCCCACACCACTTGTTCTGCGTGGAAGCATAAGCCACCAGTGTTTTCACCCCTGACTTTTTGGGTTAAAGGTGATATATTGCCAGTTACTGCTCTCTCTTATCAGACCGCATTAGGAATTGCTTTGCGTCCACTTTCTTTTAGCTGTGTTTTCCTCCTTAAAGACTCCAGAGTGATGACTGCAGTTAATCATCCTTTGTGCTACATTTGCGAGCTTTGAAAACCACCTGTAATTGCCTATTACAGCGACTAGTTTAAGGACCAGGTTGCTAATATGTTAAAAGAAAAGCAACAATTCAAAGCCACAAGCCAGCAAAACAGGCTCTGGGGGGTCCCTCCTCTTATGCTCTGGCAGAACACGAGCCCTACATACAACACCTGAGGGCAGGGTATGGCATGGAATGCATGTGTTTGTGCCAAAAACTTTGTCAGTCTTCAAAAAATCACCATCTTTGGAGAGCCCTGGGTTCTGCCAAACCAGCAAGCTTTAGTTGGCTAGAGAGCATATGGCAAGAGAAAACGGGATATTCCATCTCAGGCTAATCTCATTTCCCCTGTCTGCATTGAACAATGGAAACATTGAGCGCAGAATGCTTCATCGTGGACGGGTTATGGAATAAAAGAGCATTCAGTCTTCTTGCTCATTTCCCTACCTAGGAGTTTTATGGGACAGTGCATAAGCTGAAGCTCCTCAGGGGCTGTAGCTGTAGCTTGTACTCTGGTATTTATACCAGGTTTTGTGGAACCATTCAGTGCAGCGTTCAATAAAGCAAGCCAAGTAACCCCAGCACCGCGTGGTATGCGCAGCACCTCAGGGAGTTGTGCAGACACACCGTGGCCTGCACCAGGAGAGTGCTGTACCTACTAGCTTGTTTGGAAGCTTTCGGTACATATTGCCACCCAGCTTCTCTTTCTGTGGATCTCTTTCTCTTTGTGAAGTACCCTCATTGCTGGTGTGAGACTGGGAAAGGCAGGAGTTCCAATCTAGTTCTGGCAGCCAGTAACCAGCGGGGTCCCACAGGGCTTGATGCTAAGGCCAGTTTTCACAGTTGTTATACATGATCTAGACACAGGACTTGAATGTGTGCTACGTTTGTGGGTGGGTGATACTAACTTCGGAGCTGTTGACTCCCTTGAGGGTAGAGAGGCCTTGCAGAGAGATCTTGGCAGACTAGAGGGCTGGGCAATTACCAACTGGTATAAAATTTACCAAGAGCAAGCGCTGGATTCTGCACCTGGGATGGGGTAATCCTGGCTGTATGTTCAGACTGGGGAATGAGAGGCTGGGGAGCAGCCCCGCAGAAAGGGATTTGGGGTCTTGGTCAGCAGCAAGATGAGCATGAGCCAGCAGCGTGCCCTGGGAGCCAAAAGGGCCGACCGTGTCTCGTGGTGTATCAGGCACGGCATTGCCAGCTGGTCGAGGGAAGGGATCGTCCTGCTCTGCGCTGCACTCACGTGGCCTCTGTTCTTCTCTAAATGATGATTTTTTTCTTGATGAATTTTTGCCTAGTGCAGTATGAAGCTGGTCATGGCCAGCATGACATCTAACATTTTCTGCTCCTGCACAAATCATTTTTACTATTTAGTATACAAACCTCCAGGCTCCAGGGAATTCCAGGTTCACCACACACCATATAGCCATTAATACTTCCTTCCAAAATTTATTATTCTGTAATCTCTCCCATAATATATGAATTATGGTCTCTAGAGGAAATTCCTCATTTTCTTGCATATATCATTGCAATTCTTGAAGTTCTGCAGTAGTTTAAAATTGATGTGCCAGCCTTATACACATTTGAGCAAGAACTAGATCCCCGACTCTGTTAGTTCCCATTGCAGGAGGGTTATTTTAGCTATTCGGAGCCGAATTTCCATGTTTGCGAGGTTATCGGGAAGTGGTTTTCTTTGTGGAACTGCTGCAATTTATGTTCTTGCTTAGAGCAAAGTAAAGCTTGCTCTCCCCGTAGGTCCTCAACGTTCTGCAAGTGAAGGAAGTGGGATATTGGCAATAGAATATGAAAAAATCTGGAGCTTCAAAGGACTCCCCATCAGATTATTGATAAGCTGTCTGGGAAGGCAAAGTGGGGCACCAGAAAGCATTTTGACAGCTGTTGCTTGCGAGGCAGTCCGAGCTGGTTTAACACTTCCGATTTTCCAGCTCTTAAGCCACTTCCTTTGGTGATCGTCCGTTAGTGATCTGAAGAGAGCCCTGTTACTGCAGAGCAATAGATAAAAAAATAGTTTTTTTTCAAATGTTGAAATGTATCTACTCTGAAGCCTCCACCTGGGAGCGGTTATATGTTATGTGTGCTCCACTTGGCCGTTAAACTCCGTGAATCCTTGCAGGAGACCGGCTTTGGCTTCTCCCATAGGTGCTGGTTTTAGGCTTTTGGGTTCTCTGCACTGATATCTGGACAGAAATAGAGGAATTACACCTTAAGTAATGGTTAAGTAAATGTGTGTGTAGTTAGTGAAGCAAGGCTCTTGAATTTCATACTAAAGGGGTGAGGTAGAAACTCTTTATCACTTCCCAAAGTAGAGACCAGTATAATATTTTGTTTTTGAATCCATTTCCTTAAATTATTCTCATCTTACCCTGGTGTTTACCCTGAAAGTTCCTGTTTCATCAGTATCCATGTTCTTTGTCAAATTATGGTGTTCTAGCTGCAACAAATGAAGCTGTTTTGCAGAGGCAGACCCAGGCTCCTGTGTTTGCTCCAAGCTGCCTGTCACGAGCCAGCTCAGATATGGAGCTGCCAATCCATATTTACAGAGAAAAGAAAAAACGTTGAGAGGTCCCCCAGGCCATCCCACACCCAAAGCCATCAGCCATAGCCACTCACAGATGTCTTACATCTCAGCCCTGTTCAGCTCAGCCCACTGTGCTCTTGCAGCACAATCTGCTAAAGCAAGGGCCAAACCAACCCAGTACCTCGTCAGTTAAGGATGTTGGTTTTCTGGGACAGAAATATCTGCTAACAATGGATCCCGTTCCATGTCTTGGATTTTCCTTGCAGACAGTGACTTCCATCTCAGGTTCTTTCCTTAGAACCAGGCTGAACCTGGTGCTGTTTTCTGTGCAAGCCGACTTTGACAGTTCCTCTCATGGTGGATTATCTCACGTGCTCAGGCATCTATCCAGCTTCTCCAGAGCCCGTGTGAATGGAAGTCATGTGAGCGCTGCAGCTTGCACCAGTGAGGCAATCTGCCTTCATACGGAAGTCTTGTGCAAGGCGCCAGCTGGCTGCTGATATTTCCTATTGGCATAAACTTTCCGTGTTGCTAGAGGGAAAAGAGGAGACACCTTTTGGGGCCAGCAAAGCAGAGCGGAAAAAAATTCCGCTCAGGTCATCTTACGCAAGACCAGAAAGGTGAACTAGGCACAGCACAGCCTGGGGAGCATGCATGTGCCTTCATAAATGGGCGTACAGGTGAGCAGTGAGCTACACTTGGTCTGCCAAGGAGAGGAGTTAACGTCTGGCTGAGAATTTGGTTATATGTTCAGACGACCAAGGTCAGAGCAAGCTGAAATTCCAGTGCATGGCAATTTGCAGGGGAAAACTCCCTGGGAGGGTTACAGCTTCACCGAGGAATTTTCCCCTGTGGACCACCAGTGTGCTCTCAGAAATGCTTGCATTTTTCCTCCTTTATGTCCCTTCTCTCTTCCTTTCTTACTGCACCCCAGTGGTACAGTAAGGCTGTGTCCGTTTCTTGCCAGGTCACATTGTGGTGGTGTTTCTGCCTAGTTCCTGTTGCTGTTCCTACATCTAGAACTGTTCGGGGGTCAATAGGTTGGTCCTATAGCTAATGCCTTGAAAAACTTCCTTGCTCACTGTGTCTTTGTCTTTTTAAGCTCCTTGCTTTCAGTAATGAAGGATATAGTCAGAGATAACGGGAATTGTTTGTAGCCTGTGATACCCCAAAGAGCTGTGACCCCCATATGGCTAAGATAAGTTTGTCCATTGTCAGTTTGCTTTAATGTAATTATTCAGAAACTTAATCTGTTGTTGAAATATTTATCCTGCTGTTGTTATGCCAATGCTCTTTATTGCTTTTTATTCATGAGAAACTACTTGAGGTAAATATATATATATATACACACACAGACACATGCGTGTGTTTGTAGATACTATTTACATATATACATAGAGAGAAATATACACATACATAAAATCACCTAGAGAGCGATGAGGTTAATGGGGCCATCACACAATGACAGGACCTGAAAGCAGGCAGCTGTGCTGGTCGTGCGTGCAAGTGGTCACACACATGGCCAGGCCAAAGGGTAAAGCTTAGAGGTAGACAGCGAGTTAAATATGATGAAAATACATTACCAAAAACTACACATATGCAGGTGTTTTCTGAATGGATCTGAAGGTTCCCTGCCTGAGCAAGAACCGGTATCTCTACAGGCTGGCAAGTTTGGTAGCATTTAGAGCATGAATTATGTATGATAGAAATGAAGTGTATTTTAGTAGCAGATAGCTGAAAAGCCTTGCAATGTACTCCTAATCCAGCGGCATTGCCTTGAGCTACTTTGAGGCCTCTTTGTCAAACGCAGACATTAGCACAAAGCACACCTCTGACTGCAGGCATTTAAAGATCAACAAGGGCCAAAAAAGCTTTTAAGAGCCAATGAAACCAGGAAAACGACCATGTTCCCTTTCAGTGTCAGGTTAGATTGCCTTCTTATGAGTGCAGCTATTTCAGGTACAGAGTGCTTGGTGGTTTGGGTCTTGTTGCATGGAGAATGCGTTCCCCAGAAAACATCTGTTTCCTTCACCTGCAAACCGCAGTGTGCTGTGAAAAGGGAGGGCTGTAGCCGCAGGGCCCCAGGGGAACGAAGGGAATCTGGCTCAAAGGGATGATGAGCACGGTTTTCTGAAACATGGTATCAGAGGCAGCACTTAAAAGCAGAGAATGCTTTTAGAGCACACCACTGCTAATCAGGCAGGTCCAATTCCCAGGCAGGTCCAAGAAAGAAATGTTCCAAAGGAGAAGCCCCGCTTGAGCTGGTTCCTGTCAGCCGCTGGGGCTGGTGGGGGTCTGTGGGCAGTGTCCCAAATCACACCTGGTCTGCGGCCTGGCAACACACAGCTCAGGCGGTGCTCTGGGCATGGAGGACAGAGGAGAGTGTTTCACAGTCTGCCATTTCAACCATTTAATCAGGTGCTGCTTTTTTTTTTTTCAGAGGATGACATGAATAATTACATCAGTCGGTACTACAATGAACCTAGCAGTGGTAAGTTTTGCTTTAAAATGTAAATGTAAACTGAGTTTTTACATCTTATTGTGTGCTGTAAACCCAGCGAGACTGACCAGTGATGTATCTCTGTCCCAGAAATCAAACCCAAACATGCATCTGGGGGTTGTGGTTGACAGCAAGCTGAATATGAACCAGCAGTGTGCCCTGGCAGCCAGGAGGGCCAACCCGATCCTGGGGTGCATCAAGCACGGCATTGCTAGTCGGTCGAGGGAGGTGATTGTCCCACTCTGCTCTGTGCTGGTACAGCCTCACCTCGAGCACTGTGTGCAGCTCTGGGCACCACAGTACAAAAAGGATGTAAAACTGTTGAAGAGCATCCAGAGGAGGGCTATGAAGATAAGCCTGGGGGGGAAGACGTATGAGGAGTGGCTGAGGGCACTGGGCCTGTTCAGCCTGGAAGAGAGGAGGCTGAGGGGAGACCTCATCACAGTCCACAACTTCCTTGTGGGGGGGTTGGAGGGGAAGGAGCCAATCTGGTCTCCATAATCACCAGTGCCAGGACTCATGTGAATGGTGTTAAGCTGAGGCAGGGGAGGTTTAGGCTGGACATCAGGAGGGGGTTCTTCACAGAGAGAGTGGTCGCACACTGGAACAGGCTCCCCAGGGAAGTGGTCACTGCACCGAGCCTGACTGAATTTAAGAAGGGATTGGACTGTGCACTTAGTCACATGGTCTGAACTTTTGGGCAGACCTGTGCGGTGCCAGGAGTTGGACTTGATGATCCTTATGGGTCCCTTCCAACTCGGGCTATTCTGACTCTGCTCTGTTGGGTTTCTCTGTGGCAGTGCTGTGCCAGGAGTGGGCTCCAGCGCTTCAAAGTGTGGGGTTCTGGGTCCCAGCTCCTACAGGTGTGAGGTGGTGGGGCCCGGGGCTTCAAGTGTGCCGCTGTGGGGCCTTGTCTGCTAACGGTGTGCTGGGGCGGGGCTCGTTCCTTGGAGCTGTGCCTTACAGAGGGGCCGTGTAGGCCCCAGGGCGTTTACGACCCAGCTGCGGGCCCTGGGCCGTACCAGGGAGGGTGTGAGCGTGGCCCCCGGCTCCTGGCGGCGCCCGGCTCTGGGCCCGGCTCTGCACCGCTGGGCCCCGCTCAGCGCTGTGTGTGGGCCCCGCCTCGCGCTGCCGTGCGCCTGTGGGCCCGGCCCTGCCGCCTCCAGCGCTGGGGGTGGGCCCGGCCCGGGCTGCGGGGCGGGGACACGGCGCGGCGCTGAACGGGGGCCGGGCCGGCCTTAAAAGGGGAAGGGGAGTAAGGGGGCTCGTAAAAGGGGCACGGCGCTGTAGGGTCTTAAAAGGGCAACGGGAAGGAACGGGGTTCTTAAAAGGGGCGGGGCCGTGGGGAGGGCTTAAAAGGGGCACGAGCACCGGCTTCTTAAAAGGGCACCGATGGCAAAGGGACTCCGGGGATCGCGGCGCGTGAAGTTCTGAAAAGGCGCGCGACCAAAAAGCGCGGCCTTAAAAAGGGAAACGGGGGGGAACGGGGCACGGACAAGGGGCGGGAGCGAGGGGGTGGCCTGAAGGGCACGAGCAGGGGAGGGGCTGAGCGGGGCGCGCACCCTGCCCCTGGGGCGGGCCGCGTGTCCGTGCGCGTTGGCAGCGCCCCCACGTTCGTGCTATTAAATTGCGCGTGGGCCCCGCGCCTCTCACACGGGGTGTGCGCAGCGCGGGCTGCCAGGAGGGGCCCCCACGGTTGTTGCGGGCAGTAGGGTCGGTGCTTCTGGCAGCTCTTAGAAGGGGCACGCGGCTGGGGCATTTCCCAGGGACGTGTAAAAGAAGTGCGCCCAAGTTCGTAAAGCGGGTGCCTCCAGGGGCTCTAAGAACCTTAAAGTTCAGCCAGTTTGTAATTTGTCCTGTGCAGCCCGTGGAGACAAAAATGACTCTGTCTGTCCAGGCCTGTTGTTACACCTCTGGTAACACCACTTACATTTACCCTTCCTGCAGACAGCGCCATTCCCGAGGCAGCCGTCTGCGTCGTTACCACTGCCGCCATTGACGTCCATCACCCCAACATCTCTTCCGACATGTTCACCGTGGAGGTGCCGCTGCGGCTGAACAGCACCGGGACGTCTGCCAGCATCACCTCGGGCAGCGCGTCCCGCTCCACCGTCAGCTCCGGTACCCAGGCGTGCAGTGAGAGCAGCCAGACGCTGGGCTCCTCCCCAGAGTGCAGCGTGACCTGTGAGGATGCTGCAGAGGCTGGCACCAGGCCGCGGGCTGACCACATGTGCACCGAGCAGCAGGTGGCACAAGCCATGGTGCAGGAGCTACTCTCCTCCCTGTCGGAAGAGGTCTGCCTGGCTCAGAGGAGTCTGGACCCCGTCAACCTGAAGCTGCCCAGCCCAGGAGACTCAGTGAGGGCCAGCCCCAGCCTGGGCCACCGGCTCACTATCTACAACCGCAGGAACCAGGACAGCCTTGATGTCTTCCAGCTCAAACCGCTCATCGACTGTCCACAGGGGGCCCCAGTCATTGATGAGAAATACGCAGCACTGGGGCACCCTGAGCCACCGCTGGGCAAGGTCCCAAAGGCATAAGAAGAGCTGCAGGGACATGCTCACTGTGCGGGCATGCTCACAGTGCTGAGGCATCAGGCTGCTGCAGGCAACACCCCGATATTGGAGGCAACCCAGAGCAGCTCCTGGAGTGGCTGCCAGCCCTGCGCCAGGCCAGCGCCTCCCCACTGGTGTCCACAGGACCCAACCACCCCACCCACCTCCATATCTGGGCCAGCCCAGACCTACGGTGTCCTTCGGGCACACACAGTGGACCTCCCAGCCATCTTCAGCCCACATGGACCCACAGTACCTGGTGGGGGGGAGAACAGACTGCAGCCCTGTCCTGCCCTCAGCCTGGTCCCAGCCCCAAGGTACACGGACCGTCCCCTGCTTCAGAGCCACAGGGCAGGACAGAGCCAGTGGCCAGCCTGGGCCCAACCTGGCCTCCTAGCTTGCCATCCTTCCGGCCAGGGGGCTGAACATAGCTGGGAGGGAGTAAGGATGGCAATAAACACTGATAAACACTGGTGCCTCCCTTGTTCCTACCTTCCCTTCAGCTTTTTTCCATCATTCCTTCTTTCCCCTACCTCTCTTTTCTTTGCTTTCTTGTTGTCTCTCTTCAGTACCCACCCCACACCCACCACCTGCTGTCCCAATCCCATCACCTACTACACACAGAAAACAACAAGAAGCACAGCGACAGGCCCTCATTACCCTACAATCCTTTATTTGTTATTATTCCTTCTTACCACCTGTCCCACCAACCCACACTGCCCAGCAAAAACATATGCTGACACCAGCGCTTTCCAGTACTCTTTTTTCTTTCTTTGTCATTTCCTCCCGCAAAACGCAGTGCAGGGGCCAGCGGTGTTGCTCACTTCTTCTTCAGGAGCTCCGTCATCTCGGGCACTGCCTGCAAACACCAGTGCCAGGGTAGCACCTGCTCTCCCCTGTCCCCCCCAAAGTCTCCATGTGAAGCACCCAACCCCCCCCAAAGGGCAGCCCCTGCCCTCCTGTTCCAATGCGTAACACACAACTCCACGGGCTGTGGGTCACCCCAGCTCACAGCACTCCCCGCTTCCCTCCTGCTGAATAGAGCCTCTTAATTATTTAAGAGCGCTACATTTCCATTAGGTGGAAATAATGCATTCGTACAAAATTTATTAAGGAAATTGTCTACACGGTGTTTCTTCAGAACGTGACTTTGTCTCTGGCTTACGAAAAGGCCCGCTCTCGCTGTTGAGCCAGCGGGCATCAGTTCAGGAATGGCATTAAGTGCTGGCAGAGTTTCTGTCCATGCCTCTCCACAGAGCCACTACCAGCCCACGCCAGTCACATACGTGGCCGCGCACACAGGCTCCCACCTGTGAGCCGTAAGGCACTTGGACATGGTCTACTTCACAGCGCAGTTTTCCAGGAGAAAACTGCCAGTTTGTCATGAGCTGCAGTAAGGCAGTGAGCCCAGGCAAAAGGGAGAACTGCTGCAGTGTAAAGACACTGCTAATTCTGCATGATCATACTTTCTGAAGCTTAAAAACACATCTGAAATACCTACATGCAGTTATTTCTCAGAACAGTGTGTGATTCGAGTACCAGAATATGGGCAGGCTGACTGTGAAACCCACGCCCCAAAATTATCCTGGCAAGCGCTGAATTCTGAGACTGAAAATAATGAAGTCATAAAGCCAACTCTTTAACTAAACCCAGAGCAAACACCCTGCCACAAACATCTTTAAAATTTAGTAGATTATATTACCTATTTAAGATACCATTACATATCTGAATGAGTTATCCCACACATTTCCAAGTTTAGCCTTACCTGAAATAAGTCTGCCACCAGTCCATAGTCTGCCACTTGAAAAATTGGAGCTTCTGGGTCCTTGTTAATAGCAACGATGGTCTGCAAACAACAGGAAAGCACCATGTGAATTTATAGTGATTTACATCTAGGGTCAGATTACACAGACAGGTCTCATCTACAAAGCATGGCCTAACTTCTCTCCTAGCCAGCAGACACAGCGGATAACAGATCGAAACACTTAAAATGCTTTTCCTTTCCACCTCAAAAAATACAAACACAAGCAAGCAAACAAAAAACACAAACACCTCTAAAATCCACCATTACGAAAGTCTCCAAAACTGAGCCACGTGTTCATAACAGTGATTAAAAAGTCCTTTCCTTGCTTGTAGCACACATCAGGGCTATCCTTCCTCGTTCAAAGTAAGAACCTTATTTTAGAAAAAAATTACTACAGCGGATTATCTGCACTACTAAAGCCATAATATTACAGAAATAAATCAGGTAGCATTTAAAACACGTATGATCAAATGATGCCAGAGGCCCCTGTACTTACAGTGGGCCACATGATTTACTGTGTTGCACAGTAGAAAAACATACAGTAGACAAATGTGATCTAAATCCCAACACAACGGTCTGTAAAATGCCTTGATTTCAACTCTTTCATACAGGTAAATCATTCCATAATCATCTGTGACAGCTTCCAGCAAAGTAAGTGGGTGTCCACATCCGAATGTACAACAGGATGGGCAGACTCCATAAAGGATGGAAAAAATCAAAACCGCGACAGCTCGTAAAATGAGCCTGACACCAAATGGGTCTAAACCACAGCACTCCGGTAACTGCCTTTCCACCTAAATGCAGCAATATGAACTCTGATTTGAGGCAACAGGAGTCCTCAGGACAGCTCTAACCCAACATTTACTTCATAGGCTTATCTGCCATTCCCAGGTAGCCACGGCTCATGTTTCTCACGTGCTTTACTCCCTCCACTGAATATACTCATCCAACAAAATTAATAGCTCAGTGCCATGTATCTAATGGCAGTAACTCAAAGATGTGAGTTCACAAATCCTGCGCTCTTAAGCCCACGGAAACATTCTTTCTTCACAGCTCTTTTGTATCCTGTGACTCACTATAAAGAAGGACCGCATCCTTTATGCAAGGAAGTACCTCCAGCAGAGCCTTGCTGCTGCCTGCTCGCCAGCTCACAAGCAAAGACTTGCGAGTATTCCAGTAAGGCTTCCCCTGCAATATTTTCCCCTAAAAGGTACTTGTTTTATTTCAGTTACACCATTTGTGAACACTAGCCTCCGCTAACAGCTCTACAGTACAGGAAACAAAACCTAGGTTATGTCAGCCCAGGATATTAACTCAATAAAGACCTTCTCTAACCATGCTCTAAGGCCCTACCATGCTTTCCAAGAGCCCTTCGCAGGAGCATGAGGCCTGAGGGGCTAATGCTGGGGCCTGCCGTCGGTGACACCCTGGGGACTGCTGGATCTGTCCTTAAGGCTGTGGGAACTCTGGCAGGCAGGAAAACGATCCAGCTGAGATGGCAAAGCACACACCTGGGTCATCAGCCCAGCCAAACCAGGCAGGAGGCTATGGGCAGGCAGATGGCTCCAATGCCCCTGCTCTCACCTGGCCCAGGTGAGAAGCACACAGGTACAGCAAATTCCCATAAGTTGCTACTTCAACACAAAGGATACCTTCAGCCACAAAACCAGCTGACTTTCCCTCCGCATGCTCCCCTCTTCAGCCCCACTAGCCCTGGAAGGCTCCTTAAGAAATACTGTGCCACATTCACACACACAAAAAAAAGAAGCACCCGTTGTTTGAAAAACATCTATTGTAAAGCTTTAAGTTTGGCAGCCTAGTCCTTCCTCCGCCTCTGTCTGTTCAAGTACCTCTGTACTGAGATCTGGTTCTCTACCTCATCGCTAAAATCAGACTTTCCATAGTAAGAAGCAAAAGCATCACCTTGTTTGCTACAAAACTTTCAGAAGTTACATCTCTTAGAGCAGATGCTGGCTGGAACTACCTCAGGAGGGAATTGAAAATAAGGGAAGAAAGCAACAAGGATTCACCAGGCCTCCTCAAAAGCTGCATTTTCTACCTTGCTGTAAAAGGACAAATAAATTATACATTTCACTTGGTAGAACGCATCTGACTGCTCTGGAAAACATATCCTTAAGTGTGCAAGTTCACAATGCCAGATAATTCACAGTGCTGATGGAAGGCAGGGGACGCTCCCGAGACAGTTTCCACGGCTGCATAATTCTTTTATGTTTGTATAAATGGGATCTTTTCCATAATTACACCTCTAATGCTTTGCCTAAAAGGAATGCAGAATACACTTCAAACACAAGTAAAACAACTTTAGAATGCACATATTCGTTTACACTAGAAAAATTATCATCTCTGGGTGAAATGAATCTTAAGTATGTCTCTAATATTGACAAATCTTATCTGTACTTCTTTCATATAAAAAACATCTCAAAGTACCAAATACGGCACCGAAAAAGCCAAAAAAAAGCCAAAAAGCTGGAGGTCTTACTGTTACAGCACAGCCAATACTGCTACACAATATCAAAGGAAATTCTGGCACATAAAGTAATAGGTTTCCAGTATGGCTGGTAGTTTTTCTGAGATGAAACAGGAGATAAACGCAAACAGGGTCAAATCAAGACTTAGGCAGCTTTACGTATACCTTTCTCAGTCTGTGCCTGATTTAATCCCACCCACCCATTTTCTCCCTCACCCAAAAGCAAGGCAGGAGACTAAATGCTGTGAAACAAAGACATTTTTTATGCTGCGGCCCATCAGCTCCTACTCCTAGCAGAGTCCAGGGGAGCTAAGGACAACGGGGACGACTGTGATAGTACCGCATCAGGGCTGCTTTAGCCATCTCTCCTTGGTGATGGTCCCTGTTGTCTCCCTGTTGCTGTGCTGCAAGAGACTACAGCAACCCTGTTTCCATTAAGAACAGTGAGAATACACCGCTACAGATACTATTATCCACATTTCTCTATCTCAAGAGTGACCTTCATTACCTCTGCCCATCATTCATCCTCAGCTTCTCATTCTGGTTGTTTTTTCTCCACTGTGTCGACTTAGGCAAAACCAGCTCCACTCCCATTGTAGAAAGCTGAGGCACCAAAAAGGGTGCTATCTCCCAACTCCACATATTTAAATCATATGTTCAAGAAGAACTAAATCCTAAGAAAGTGTGGACCATCCTACCATGCAGGCTGGATTGTGAGGACAAATACCAGTCACATAAACTGATTACAGTCTGTCACTGGTCAAACACAAGACAATTTCAAGGATCCACCTGTAAAGTTTTATAATCTTTTCCTTGGTTGGCGATAGTTTTATAAAAGCCTCTCATCAAATTTTTGGGTGCTGGAAAACGGATTCAAAGCCATTAAAACTTGTGATAAGTTCCCCGAATATAGACAAAAAAAATCATTTCTTAAAATACTTGGCAAGAGACAGGACAACCTACATTGTCTGACATTTGGCATTTAACAGTATGATTCAGCAGGTAATTCTGCTCCTCTTTCCAAACACTGCACTGTGGACTGAACTGGCAATTCCAATTTCAGATGATGTACTTTGGCAACTAATGAGTTAAACCTTTTAAAGTTTTACTGCCATTTTATAATAGGTTTCCATTTGAATGGCTAAATGCAGGAATGTCAGAGACATCTTTTACTTTATGGAATACTAAGTTCATAATTCAAATTACATATTGTTATGCATGAATTAATATGTCATACTCTGAAATAAAGGCAAATGGAACTACTGTATAGAATTCAGGCAAGTGTATGTTGGTTTTTAATAAACAAGTCAACTAGCTTCTTTTACTTAATACTTCAGGCTTAGTGCAATAGTTGCTCTACCGTGTTAGTCGTTCCACCACAGAATCTTTTTCAGCAAGGCTTAGAGGCATGGTATAAAGCAGCAGATAAAACTTCAATCTTACCACGGAATGAATTGGAAAGCTTGTTAAATTACTGATGAAAAACAAAGAAGTCAACTCTTTTCCTTCCTCAAGAATCTCTTCTACCACATCCAACTTTATATACCTTGCTGTCTTTCATCCCAGCCAAGTGTTGGATTGCTCCAGATATTCCCACGGCAATATAAAGTTCCTAGAAGAAAACAAAAATGAGACATTTTTGGTACCCACAACATAGTTTGAGTAAGCTCTCACAAACCTTACTCAAGATCAATTACATACAGTAGTTTTTACATGAGAGTAGTTTTCAATATTAAAGTCAGTTCACGATTTGTTCCCCTTCCCACTTTTGGATGCAATGCAGCTGTAAAAGGAGAATCCCAAAGGAATGTCTGCCAAAGACAGATGAGAAAAACGGGGATCTGCAACAAACATAAGACACTGCTGGGCTACAGGGTAGGGCAATCAGTGCTACCCATAACCCTAGAGATTCCCAAAACAACTATTAAGCAAGATAACCTATAACCACATAAATGCAGTTCCTAAAGAGAAAAAACAAGACTCTTTTCCCTGAGTCCTCCCTCCGTGATTCTCCTAAAATAAGACAATGCACAATGCTGAAATTTGGGTGTTTACACCATTAATAAATTTTTCTACCTGGCAGGACAAAAATACTTCAGACACTGGGGTCTATGAGTGCAACTTCCACTTGTAGTGATAGTTTCTATTACTTACGTACAGAATATCCCAAGTTAGAAAGGACCCATAAGGATCATCAAGTCCAACTCCTGGCAACACCCAGGTCTACCCAAAAGTTTAGACCACGTGCCTAAGTGCACAGTCCAATCGCTTCTTAAATTCAGACAGGCTTGGTGCAGTGACTACGTCCCTGGGGAGCCTGTTCCAGTGTGCAACCACCCCCTCGGTGAAGAACCCCCTCCTGATGTCCAGCCTAAACTTCCCCTGCCTCAGCTTAACACTGTTCCTGCGGGTCCTGTCACTGGTGATTACAGAGAATAGGTCACCTGCCTCTCCACTCCCCCTTGCGAGGAAGCTGTAGACTGCGATGAGGTCTCCCCTCAGCCTCCTCTTTTCCAGGCTGAACAGGCCCAGTGCCCTCAGCCGCTCCTCAAGTCTTCCCTTCTAGGCCCTTCACCATCTTTGTCGCCCTCCTCTGGGCACTCTCCAACAGTACACATGCCCAACACGACATGCCCTAACGCTTTTCTTCCCCCATTCACTATCAACACCTACACCAGATGAGAAAAGAAGTACTTTCCAGGTAGGTACCACCATGCAACTGAATCGTTACACTTCCGGACTGCCAACCCGGCACATCTAAGGAGACTTGCATTCCCAATACAGGAAAAGTAAAGCATTCTATATCGATGGTCTTAATTCATAGCAGAAAAGCAGTTTTCCCCCTTGGGCTAAAAGTTAGCCAGGCTATAACCTACCCAAAACCAAGTATATTTTTAACTCGGTGGCAGCTTTCCCATCACCACCATGTCAAGTAACAGTCAAACCTGCACTGCTCACCTACCTAATTTTACAGAAGAAAAAAATAAAGGAATTATTCTCACTAAATCCATTATAAAAGCAGCAACTGGAACACACAAAAGTAGCTAGGGGATCATCTGTCAAAAACAATTACAAGGTTGTATTTATACAGACTTCAGAAAAATGCAACCTTAAATACTAGCAGAAGTTCTTTTTCAAAAACGCCACAGTTAGTCCCCATTTAAGCACACGCAGATCTACATCAAGAAATTAAAATGATCTCATCCTGTGCAACTGAAGATGCACATTCCAGCTAAGTGGCTTTTAACACAACAGAACAAAGCCCAGCACAGCTGTAGAACAGGGACGGACTACAGAAGAGGCTGGCAAATGAAGGTGTTCAAATGCAGAGAAATTGCAGACTGCATCTTCCATATAGGCCTGATAGTCACCATATCAATTCCAGAAAACAGACAATTGCTTTCTGATGTTTCTACAGCTACAGATTCCACCTATTATGTTGGCTTTTAAATACAAACAGTGAAATCCGAATGACGAATATTCTATACTTTTTAAGAAAAACTATCTCCTGTAACAACTAAATGGAAGGGTAACAGCGCAGGAATGAAGTATTTCGTATTAAATCAGCTTGCTTTGAAATCGAAACACAGAATCTACTCTACATATTTGCACAAAACCACACAGCTGTTGAAGATACCCAAAAATTTCTTAGTCTTAGTTGCTTTTCAGTGTGTAGATTAGCACTGGAGATCAACCCATTTCAACCACAGCTGCAGTGTAATATAATATGTACGTATAAGATCTTGTAGTAAGAATGAAATATTTTAATTATACCATATAAAAGAACAGATGTTACAGAAGACATTATTCTAACATCCTATAGTCTTTAATACAAGCTCTTTTTAAAAACACATTACTGTGATTTGATTTTTTGGAGCAATTCATTAAGTGCCAGTCATCTAGACTACCAGATACTCTTACCGCTCTGTTTAACAACATAAATGTTCAGTCTTTGGAAAGAATCCAGCTAACCAGGAGCCAGAAGCCTTCATATATATTCTACTAAAATATCTGGGAAAGACAAGGATGTTTCATTAAAAGGACATCTGTAAACCACCAGGTTTGTCTAAAAAGCCTTCATCATGCTTTTAAGCTGTGCCCTTCTAGGTTACGGGCTTTTGGCTCTCTAGCCAAAATAACTGGTCCATTCACTAGCTTCTAACACTTCACAGAATCACAGAATTGTAAGGGTTGGAAGAGATCATCGGGTCCAACCCCCCTGCCAAAGCACGTTCCCTAGAGCAGGTTGCCCAGGTAGCCATCCAGACGGGCCTTGAATATCTCCAGAGAAGGAGACTCCACAAGCTCCCTGGGCAGCCTGTCCCAGTGCTCCATCACCCTCACCGTGAAGAGGTTCTTTTGCATGTTAGTGCAGAACTTCCTGTGCTCCATTTTTTGGCCATTGCCCCTTGTCCTGTCCCCACAAACCCCTGAAAAGAGGTTGGCCAAATCCCTCTGTCTCCCACACTTAAGATACTTGTAAACATTGATAAGATCCCCTCTCAGTCTTCTCAAGGCTCAACAGACCCAGGTCTCTCAGCCTTTCCTCATGGGGAAGATGCTCCAGGCCCCATATCATCTTTTGTGGCCCTCTCTGGACTCTTTCCAGGAGATCCCTGTCTCTTTTGTACCAGGGAGCCCAGAACTGGACACAGTACTCCAGGTGAGGCCTGACCAGGGCAGAGTAGAGGGGGAGGATCACCTCCCTTGACCTGCTGGCCAAGCTCCTTTTAATGCAGCCAGGATCCCATTAGCCCTCTTGGCCACCAGGGCACAGTGCTGGCTCATGGTCAACCTATCGTCCACCAGGACCCCCAGGTTCTTCTCCGCAGAGCTCCTCTCCAGCAGGTCGTCCCCCAGCCTGTACTGATACATGTGGTTGTTCCTTCCCAGGTGCAGGACTCTACACTTGCTCGTTAAACATCATTTGGTTACTTCCTGCCCAGCTCTCCAGCCTGTCCAGGTCTCGCTGAATGGCAGCACAGACTTCTGGCATGTCGGCCACTCCTGCCAGCTTTGTATCATCAGGTACTTGCTGAGGGTGGGCACTATTCCCTCAATCAAGGTTATTGATGAAGATGTTGAACCAGCACCGACCCCTAGTGACCACCAGTCACAGGTCTCCAGCCGGACTCTGTGCTGCCGATCACCACCCTCTGAGATCAGCCAGTCAGCCAGTTCTCAGCTCACCTTACTGTCTCTACTTACAGTAGGTCACTTCAGTACTGTTTACACAAAAATAACACAAATGATGGTATGTTTCCTATTAGTAGTCTGATACTGCAAAAGAGATCTGATTGCTTAAATCTTAGTTTAAATCTATTCTACCATTTAAACATGTTCTATTATTATTATTTAGTACGGGGGAAACAAAGGACACACAAGAACTGAATGATAAGGATTCAGGACTGTTCAGTGCTCTCTAAGGAGAGAATTCAACTGCTCATTTTCAGGGCTTGTCTGTGTAGGAGACTCATGCCAAGAACAAACCAGAACAAGTAGAATCTGGATCACACCTCTCAGGTGCCAACAAAGATGGCTTTACACCAACACCTGCTTTTTGGACCCTTGGAAGCTGCTCTAATTACCGCTGTCATGTGGCTGGTCCACAGCCCACAATTAGAGGCATTCATGGCAGAGATCAGTACATGGAGTGGCATTTACCAACTCCCCGCTGCTTGCACACAGTTATCACTGGCCAGTTATCACTGAAGAGCTGCTGCAAGCACTGTGCCACACAAGCACAGCATAACAAAACAGCAAAGAGATTCTGTATCAAGGGGCTCACTGCACTGTCTAAGATGAGATGAAACCCCAAAAGTAATTTAAGTGGAGAAAAAGGAAAATCACAGTTTTGGTGGTATGAGGGCATGGCATCACATCAGAGAGTTGTCTTCCCTCACAATAACTTAACTTAGCACAGGAAATATTTATTATACATATGTCACCACTATGCCACAAATCTTACTTTTTAGGAAGTGGATAGCAGACAGATGACTGAGAAAAGAGCTAATGGTAAGAAAGAGCAGAATGAAGGAAAGAAGCAGCATGGGAAGTTGAACAGACCAAACAGCCTAAGAGGGGATGAAGCAGAGAGCAGGCAGGCACAGTCAGGAAATACTTACATTACAGATGCACTACTGCAGAAAGGGCTTGGTATGTCAGTAACGGGACCATGTGAAGGCAGGAGCATCAGCACGTAACATACCCATTAAGCTTCTCACAAAGGCTACAGCAGCAGACAAAGCCAATTCTGCCAGTAAACCGGCACACAGCAACAGAATTATAATCTGTCCTGCTGCAGAGCATCCTGCAGGACACCAGTGGAAGCCAGGGTCCCAAGTGAGACCTCAAATCTTGTAAGCACAGATTTACATCAGAATGACCCTAAACAGAAATACAACTCCAAGCCTCAAATGTTTCGTATTTAAAGGCAAAATTCCAAATCAAGAATGCAACTTCTCATTTGCTATGTAAATAAAGCATTCATCTAAGGATTGTGGTTTTTTTTTTCCACAGCCTTTTAAAAACATGACCCCAGAATGCCTTGAAGGGAGAGTCACTGTACACTAATCATCTAAATGAAATAATTCTTAGTCATCCTATAAACTC